TTCCATTATGAATTACCACAAGATATCTGCTACCAACACGGAATTTATATTTTAAATAGGTATTTTACTCTTGTACTTTTATTACTGCACTTTTATGTTCCTGCTTCGGGTCAGAGGATGTTAGGAATGCTCTCTTTTAGCCTTTGCCCTTAACTTCCTATTTCCATGGCCCTCTCTACAGTTAATGTTAGGGGTCGCATCAAAACTTACGAAGCAGGGTGAAGATAACTTGGCAAACGTTATGCTACAGCCGGATATTTTTACCAAATATTGGCTGTAAATAAAGTAAGTAAATATTGGAAAAAAAGGTTGAGTGGAACATAGGACCACAGTGATACACATTTTTCCCTTAATAAAATCTGTTCTTCAAAGATCAACTCTGTGCCACTGTTATATGTATAATGCAGACTGGATACGAATTTCTTGAGGTGTAAGAAAAAATGGAAATTTCTGAGTCTGCCTGAAACTCATTAACAGAAATAATACAAATATGAAGAAACATACTCATAGATATACACTGAATTATTTCTAGAACAAAGTTAAAAATAAATATGAATTGTCGGGAAAACCTAAGACATTACACTACATAATTTGCTTTTTAAAACGTACTATATTCATTTCAGCTTTAACATGCCAATAATGGAATTTTATTGACAGTAAAGCATTAAATAATTCCTTCAACACCAGAGAGTATTATACTCAAAACTTTCTTTAAAAAGCTCAAAGACATTTCCCAGTCATTTCTGCACTTCTCTCGAAGTAAGATTTATTTATATTTGCACTGAAACAATGAAGCATTTAAATTAAATGTTTAAAAGTTATAATAGTGAAAAGTAATAGTTTGAAACACAAGTTTCCTTTCATTATGAAACAAAGTAAAAAATGTACAATCAGTTTCGCAAAACTGCAATCAAATATTACTAAAATTAGGATTTGAAACAGATCACTGGCTACTTAATTGTATAGTACACAAGTGTAGCATATTAATTTTAATCTGAAGGGCATATGGATGTTTGAAAAAACAAAAACTGTTCCATTTTAACAGGAACTTATCTTTCAATTACATTCAAATGCATTGAAAAACAAGTACATGTAGTCAGACTTCACGTCTTCACATATTCCTTACAGAGTAAAAACCTAGGTAATGGTGTTTCCTTTTGAACCACAGAAGAAACTTTGAGAATAGCAGGTGAAGAGCACTGTCCTCACAAACACATAATATTAACCTACTTTCAGAACTTTACATCAAAAACCTGAGTTCCCAATAAGCAAACTTAATGTAAACTAAAGTATTGCATTGTTTTGCCAAAAACTCACGAAGAAATGGAATAAAGACAATGTTGTAACTTACCTTTGCAAACAATATGAAACTAACATTTCTTGTGATTTCAACTTTTTCACAGTTCACTAAGCAGTGGGCATAATAGTTAGAGGAACACACCCAGGAGGCATTGATTGGAAAAAGGCATATGGTAGAATGAAAACAATTTGTACCATACTAATCAATCTATATCTTGCAAAGATGCAGTTTGCAAGTAAAGAAAAATTTGGAATTCTGGTGAACTCCATATGATTTTGATGAAGAACTCCAAGTGACCTTATAAATAATGCAAAGATTGTCAAATTTCAGTAGTTTTCTCATAAGGGTGACAGAATCAACTCGGTAGTCCACTAATAAGTCTCAATTCCTCAAAATTTTGGGCTCCTGTAAAGAATATCAAAACTCTTAGGATTCTACCAAGTCTAAATTATGAAAGTAAAACTTTATCTGATCTGCACATAAACAGTTCTAAGTTCTCTTAATTTTTTTAGTGACCAATTTAGTTATGATTTATTAATTATTTTATTATATGAGATTATTTCCTCAGGTACTTCAGGAGATGAACAATTTTTAGTTATTAGTAACCAAACAGAGGGGATGCCCAAATTTAACATTCAGTATGGATGAAATTCCAGTATTACTACAGAGAAAATGTTTGGAATGGCTTACCTTTTATGTTTTCAGATTCTATAGAAATTTAGTTATTAGGAGGTATTTGGATATCATGTAAAATTTGACCAGAGTTTAAGAATGAGTCAATTAACTTGGCAGTTTCCTTTATTGTAGAATATTTCAGATATTTTACAATAGTAATATATGTAAAATAATTTCAGAGATTCAATGACGTTATGTAATGTTTCATTTGCTGCATGTAAATTACATTTTCCCTCATTGCTTTGGGTTCTTTGGAAGAAAAAATCTATTGTTACTTACTTATTGAAGTTTACACTATCTCTTCCTTTCTTGTGAAGTAGGGCAAATTCCAATCATCTCGACTGACTTTTCAAAAATGTTTGACCTCTTGTATCATAATGTTAGGATAAACTCAAGTCCTAAAACTTTCTGCATAATTATGTCTGTCTTCCTACCTTAAGCTGCCTTCTAATATGGTACAGTTTGTAGAATATTTGTCTATCTTTTTTTTTACCACAAGTATCAAAATGGGTTGCATACTTTTTCCCCAAAGTGCCGTAGCTTGGGGGAGGGAGGGGGGTGCGCCACGGGTGACACCAATTAAACTATTTTATATTTGAAATTATATTATTTAATTCAATTACTTATAAAGTACATATATTAAGAGTTTTGTTAGTTTAAGTAATTTAACAAATGTATTGCTGTAATTATATAATTTTTATGATTTAGTTAAAAATTATTTATATTAATTTAATAATGATACATTTAAATCATAAATACTAAGAAAGCAAAGACTAAAAATAATATAAAGTAAAATGCAAATCTGTAAGCGGTAAGTGCCTGTTCTTCAATAGTCCAAGAGTCCTGATTTCAGTGATTACTTTATCTTAATGGGTGAACTGATAATGGGAGTAAGAGGTAATACTAAGAAAATCACATGTATTATTTGTATCGATTATGTTTTTGAAACGATATCAGTAAAAGGGTATCAATTGTACCAGTTGAATAGAACTAACAAATTGAACGAAATCAGTTTTGTGACAGACTTCGAGAAAATAAAGAGTAAATCAAAACCTGTATCATTTATATTCATTTAATTTATTGTGGTGTGAGTAAAGTGCTGAATATTATGAAAAACTGAAAAATTCATAATTGTGTTGTGTGTAAATAGAAACAAAAAAAAAATCTTCAAGGTAAGTGCAAAAAATAAAAAGTATATACAATAAACATATTAACAACTAAATAAATAAAAATAAGATGAATCTTAAGGCTCTGTTTGTTTACAAAAACATATTTAGTCATACAATCCTTATGATAAATAAAATATTTTATAAAGAATGTTCGAAAATATGCTAAAAATGCATAGATATCATTAAATTGATTTGAAGAATAAAGTTTGAGTAACGTAAGAAAATTTTTAATGTGTAAAAAAAAAATACGTAATTAAATTACCTCGTGAAATTTGTATAATTAAATTAAATATATAATTAAATCCCACAAGACCATATCTTATATTATTACACATATATTATACGGTCATGTATACATCTGTATATTTTAAGGAAAATAATATAACTCCAGTTTTGGGAACTAACTTTAAACATTTTATAGATTTCTTTTATTCTGACACTGTGTCTTAACATTCACTTTTCTTTGCTATCTACACTTCTAGTCGGATGCTCTACGGGAAATTGATTCTGCGCAGCAATATCTTCAAACAAAGGGTTTAGCTATTGACAAAATTATAATGAGATTAGAAGGGCTGCGAATTTTTCTGCAAGAAGAATGTGATCAACTTGTAGATCATGCAATTGCATGAGCTGTAGTTAAGTCAGAAGAATATGGGATCCCAGTTGAAAGAAGAGTGAAGTTCAAAAAGAAGATACCAGGAGAGATAATGAATAATGATGTTCGGTTGACTTTGCAAGAAGAACACAAAAGGGAAATGTGGGAATGTTATGATCACTTCTATTCAGAACTGCAAATTAGATCCAAAGCAACGTTAGAGATATCATCTACTTTTGCAGCAATTAAAACAAAGAATCTCGTGTCATCTAACAACGATGATTTAGCAGAAGATATTACAAAACTAACATTTATGATGAAATATCTGGCGATTAACTTCAAATAGAAATATCAAGGCTCAGAAGTCACCTTAAAGCAGCAAAGATCGATCTTAAAGAAGCTGAACAGTGGTCTTCTCTCAAAATGTTAAATTTTATTGTAGTGGGACTTTATAGAATCCCTTCCAAACCTTTTCCTTAGTTTAAAATTATTTCTTACAATATGTGTTTCAGTTGCTTCATGTGAAAGCTGCTTTTCTAAATTAAAGATTATAAAATCTTATTTACGATCTACAATGATTCAATCAAGACTCTGATTTGGCTCTATTGTCAATAGGAAATATTGCAACAAGCATAGTTTTCAATGAAATTTTAGATACGTTTGCTGCCCTTAAATCTCCTAAAGGGTCTTTATAAATAACTTACATTTGTTGATTAGTTATGTATCATTGTAGAATGTTTATTTAAAATCTATATTGCAATTGTTCAGAATTTCATGGAATTTTTCAATATATTTTAATGTGCAAATATGCTTGTATTTTCAATAAAATACAAACAATTTATAAATTATATAAAATCAATTTATCTTATGGATTTTAACTAATGTGTTACTGACATGCATGTTCCTTCAACACTACATCTTATAAACTAATTGTAATAAATATTTTAAAATGGAAATTGATCATTGATATATTATTATTGTTTATTGTATTAAATAAATTTAAAAAATGTGTAATCTATGTGCCCATAGATATTTTTACAACTAATTCATGGGGGGGGGGTGATACCATTTACTTTGACCCAGGTGACACCAACTGAAGCTACGCCACTGTTCCCCAATACCATTAATGACATTCTCAATAATATTACCTTGTTTTCTGTTGACACAATGGGGATGACATGAAGTAATTAAACCTTCTAAATCAATACTGTTAATTCAGCTGTCCTTCAAAGTAATTTAAATGTTTCATGAGTGTTCTATGAACCATAAATTGATTTTAAAATCCTATAAATATAGTAATGTCATTTTACAGGACAAATCAAACAATTTTTAATGATGCTGTTAATGAAGTGACCCTGAAACAGTACCAATTGATGTTAGTTTTCACTGTGCACTGGTATTCAATATTTGTAACTTAAGCAACACAATGGAGAAAAAATAAGTAGGGTAAAAAGGACATCCAGTGTAGGGAGGAAAATTTAAAAAATGATGGTTCTGTGAATATTATTTTTGTGCTGCTTCACTTGATATTTGAATATGCATTTGTCATATGGTTCCACAATGTAAAAGCCTTCAAGTAACCTTCAAAACATAGCATCAAATGTTTACAATTTAGAAACATCACTTTTTTTCAATGAACAGATAACAGGTTTCTCCACGATAAATGTAATGTACAATTTGTGGCAGACAAGAAACTTGTTTATAATTATGTTAAAATAACAAAATTTTATGAGTGACTCAATTCAGTCAAACCACAAATAGAATGGCTGTGCAAATAAGCTCAACATCAAAGTTCATAATGTTACACATTCCGAATTCTTTCAAATTCTGTCATCCTTCATGCAGTTCAGTGTTTAGAATGAAAGTACCTCTCATGAATAGTACATCATATTACACCCACTTATATATTACGAATAAAAAATTGTTCAAATAAGCAACAAAGCCACCCACATTATTCAGGCAAGCCTCTATCTCTTTAATGGGGTTGAAATACAAGTTCTTGCCATCCCTCTCCATTTAAGAACCAGTGTTTTTGTCCTATCTCACTCATGGGTTGGAACATACTTTTAAAAAACTACAGATAACTATAATTAACAGACACAGTAGCAAAACAATTTTCATAATGAGTCAGTATCAATACCAAAAATCCACACGTAATATTTTAACATCGTTTCACAACACATCACTAGAATCAGTATGCAACAGTAAATGTTGCAATGCCCACTCCCACATCAGGATAGAAACTGTATACTGTTTTCTGCAAAATTTATTGACACTTAAACAAACTACAAGTTTCATTTACAATCCCAGTTTTTATTTGTTTATACAATTAATATTTTTACATTAATATGTTTTCATTCTATTGTCATTAATATTACAAGCAATGGCTTCTTGGAGACGTCTCTTTATTTCCTTCTTGGGTGTGCGCCTAAAACACAAATTTTACATTTTTGGGTACAATAAGAAACAAATCAGTATGAGTAGTTCAACAACTATATCCTAGAGGAACATAGACAATGAAAAGTGCTACAATTATCAACAAACATAACTTCTGTCAAATTATTGTCATTCAATTAACTATTTTAATGTAAATCCACTTTTTTAAGACAATTAAAATGGATGGGACAACTGGATGGAACAGACAAATAAAACACTCAGTGAGATAACCCATTTTTTTAAAAGGAATTAATTAATATAATTATTGTTGAAATTTATAAACATTTATATCACAGGTTTTGGTGAATTGAGCCGTTCAGCTATATTTGTAGTTGTTCTCATTTTAATATTTAATGTCTCAAAGATTAATCTACAATACCCGTTCGGTTCACATCATGATATTTTAAAATCATCGAAATCCATTTGGTGGCCATGACTGATGTTGGAAATTCTATGTTATTACCGGTCGCCTTGTGACTTCTCCTCCTTCTCTACTCTTCCCCACTATGTGATCTACCCGTCTTCCAACTCAGTTCAAGAGCTCACTTAAATTCCAGAACTCAAACATCACGCCCGTTTTCAGTAAGGGTTTTTATCTAAATAATATGGTAACAAACTTTCCTTTCTTATTCTGACTCAGAGAGTACATATATATATTTTTTAACAACATATTCATCTTCTCAAATCAAAAAAATAAACACTTACAAATCAAAATTGCTAGTGGTACCACTATGATGATTAGGATTTGGATACATACATACTAATCATTAATAAAATATTGTATTCTTATTGTATATTATGTATTATGCATTATTAAATTTATTTTAACTATTTTATATTATGTAAAGAAAAAATAATGTAATGAAGTAAATCATCATCTACATTGAATACCTGTTTTGTTTAACTAAAATTCTCTAGTCATATAAAGTATATCCTAAATGCAACACATCCAAAATTACGCAAACACATTATTTCTCATATTCCTATTACAGTTTCAAAACATGATCTTCTTAATTATAAAAACCATATGGTTTTAAATTTGGAAAGAGATACTCAGAAGTTTTCAGAGTTGCAGGCAATAATTGAACAATTTTAAGGTTCTCTGAAAGTCTTATGGAAGAACAACAATGATCAAAGGCAAAAAATGCAATGAATGTAAGCAATTTTTTCCCACAGTTTTCCATAATCAGACAAGCTTTAGATTCTGCACCTTGTTTCACAAAATCAAAATGTTGCATATAGTACCCCAAAACGTTTTCCATCTCTACTATCTCTTTAACGTTGCCCAAGAAAGAAGAGCAATTTCAGGAACAAGGTCAGCTCCTCTCACCCTCAGTCAAGAGTGGGGATGAGTTAGTTATGGTAAATTATGGCAATGGCAACATGGAGATGGACTTTTCAAAGAGGTAAAGAGGGCACACTGTATCTGCCAATGTACCACTGACTTACTCTCAATTGTTACCTCTTCTGGATAAAATCTTATTTCTGTAGCAAACAGAAACACTGCTATATGTCAGCATAGCTGGAATTTGAATAACATGATGATGGCAGGTACTGACAGAAATAGATAGTCATGAGAGGGGACAAGTTTTATCACTGAGCATTGTTCAGAAGTACTTATAATTGTGTTAACTTACAGTCTTATTTAATAAAGTTATAAATCTTAATCTTTGATTTATTTACACTAACTTGACACTATAGATTATCTGTATGCCATATTCATTTCTTTTGAGTGGCTCTGCATACTTGTTGAAAGACTCATTTCAATTTATTGCAATAATATTCATATTTATACATTTTGAGGGCTAGGTGCTAATAAATTTTGAGGCCACCAAAACGTGTTTATGTAATATTAATTATTTACACAACAGAAAAAACATTTAGGCCTTGAAAATTCATATTAAAGACATACAAATAGATTAATCATAAGTACATTTCTCATCTATCATAAAACAATGTCAAAAGCCAAAAACCTGTTACACTACATTTAAATTGGATATTTTATATTATAGTCAATTTTGATTGCCCATGTTTCTTGCATACATTTAAATGTGATCTTTTATGACAGTTTCCATCCTATTGTTTTCATTCTCATTGATCAATTCAACATACTTCATACTTCTGACAGCCATTTCAATGAAGTGCCACTTTCTAGCCTATCCATTCTGGATTCCATTTGTTGTATCCATTTCCAAATCCTTTCATTTCTAATTTCCTGCATTCTTTAAAAATTTGGTAACTCCTCCTTCATTCACTCATACTTATTGCACATAGTTATTGTTTTTTACATTCCATCAAGACAGAACTCTCCCCACCATAGGTAAGTACATTTCGAATAATATTTTTTGCAATAACTCTTAAATTTATTTAATTCTTACAGAAATTTCTGGAATCCATAACACCCCATTCAAAATTCTTGTAGGTTCTCTTGCCTGTTTAATACAGTCATCGACATCCTTTTCCCAATTTCCACACCTATATAAAATTGTACCCACATATGTGAACTGTCTCAACATATCTTATTGGTTCCTACTACTTGAACTTCCAAATCAGAACAATATTGTGTAAATATCCAATTATAAAAAGAAATTATGAAGACAAAATGAGTAAAATTATGTACTTAAGAGTGAAATGAAAATTTAATGTCCTCTAGAAACATTTTAAGCAATTCGTGATGAGAAAAATCATAGTATTTTCAATTGGTCTCAAGAGAATTAACTTACAAAAAAAACAAAACATGTTATTACATAATTATTCAGGTCCTAATGATGATAAACCAAAATAAGTTCCTAATTGGCACACTTCACCACACCACAAAATATTTCCCAATAAATATTTATAACACATTTGAAAGGGTATTTACCAACTGGCATTATGAAAAATCTCTCCTGAACTCTGATTAAAATGTAAGGTGAATTGACAGCAACCAGCTGGGATGTGGGTTTTGTTACAAATTAATTTCTGATTGGATAGCCGTGTTCCAGCTGATCAAAAGTCAATTCACCCTATATTTAACCCAGACTATACTGTCAAATCATGGTTGCCATGTTGGGGAATTTTGTCCCCAAAATAGGGAATTTCATTTTCGTTGCGGGGAAAGAATGCAGAACATAAATAAACAGGGAATGTGTGTTTTCTTGGAGTGGAAATTATTTTCATCCGAAGTCAAGATAGAAATATTATTCTCTCAATTATTATGAATATAAAACAAACAATCGACATAATTCCCTCTCATTTTTATGTATTAAAAAGAGAAAAAAGAACAGGCTAAGAAAATGAAAAACATGAGAAAAACGAAGATAGTACAGGGCTTCGAGCAGCTCAAAGGATGGTGATTGGTTGATTTGAATGTAAGGGAACACTGAATGGAATCATCCGTGACAGCTCATGTCATTGTTCCATAATTTGGAGAATATTTTTCATTTCAAAGCTGGGGGATTTTGTTTTGTTGGAGTGGTTATTGGGAAAATTTCATAGTAGTGATGGGGAAAGAGCCTGCAATACTTTGGCAACCCTGAGTCAAGTGTACTAACAAGTTTTTTAAGTCGTACCACAACTTTTTTTTTAGTTTGTTTGCATTATGGTCCAGTGAAAAGTAACTACAATTTACGGTAGATATTTCATTAAAAACTGAAATGATTGTTTATTTAGTCGATAATAACATTAAGAAGTAATGGAATTTGTCATCAATAATCATGACCTCCCTTTACATAATTTGAAACTATAAATAGTGAAAGTAACTTATTTTGTGCCCTTGCATATTTTTCTTAAAAATACCAAAAATTAAAGATACACACAACAGTAATGAATGTACACTTCAATGAGAATTAAGGATTGTGCTAAAGGTTCTTTAATAGAGCTCAGAAGCCTTTTCAGTTGAAATGAAGCAGTTAAGTATGCCAAATGAAAAGATATACTCTTTGCATGTCAAGTTAGGATGAATTTCAAAATTTGTCTAACTCCGGCTCTGTTTATGATACTGTCATTTTTTCAAAAACAATTACCCTGAACTAACAATGTAGATTTGAAACAAAGACAGATGCAATGAAATATTAATCTAATATATAAAAAATTATTTTTGTTTGTTCGTGCCATACCATTTATCTAATTGCGATAAAGCTTTGTCACCTTATTGCTTGCCCTTGGGGAAGAAACTAGGCATAATACAATGGGAATGTGCATATGCCTACAGACATAGATGTGCGATGATTTTATGCTGACTCAAGCACTTCTGAAGATTGAATTGAATTGAATTGAATTGAATTGGCCTTATTTTACGTGGCGAGACTTGAGCCATCAGGCCCTCTCTTCCGTCTGACCACAGACCGCACTGATTTCGCTACGCTCCTTTCATCAACTAGCAGAGAAAAGAGGTATTTCTTGGGCGAGAAACAGCGATTTGAATTTAGCTCAGAGGCGTAATTTAGGCTGAGGATTTTTCATGCAGTAAAATCTACTAGAGCTGGCTTTACTTCCCCTCCGAGGAGGCGTACAAGATTTTTTTGTCTTAAAATTCTCGCTTCGAACCAGCAACTTTGGGTAAAGTCCGTACGCTAACCGTTGCACCATCGCACCGCTAGATTGGTGAATGGTGCAACAGCCAGCCAAGTTTTGAATAATAGTGGCTTCATTGCATATTCTGCCCCTGCGATTGTGAAATTACACCCAGGATAAAGGGAGACAGAGACAGACGGAGAGGGGGAGAAAGACAGACACAGAGAGGTACAGGGACAGTGAGAGTGACAGAGAGAAAGGGAAAGGGAAGAAGAAAGAGAGATGGAGGGCAGGACAATGTCTGCTGGGTTTCGCTAGTATCCACAGATCTAGTCAAATTTTGACAGGTATCAGAGCCATAAAGGATTTAATAGGAGGAATCATCACCTGTTTATAAAAGAAATCCTACTCTAAGTGTGATCAAATACAAGTTGTCAACAGTTATCAAAAATTGAAGGAAAAAATCACAATATTAAATTTAATACAGAGTCTGCATGGTTCAAAGTTTGTGGTCTTTTAACTGAGCATATTCACAGCCATGTATAGAAGAGATGTGAGCAAAAATGTACTAGATGTTATGCCTTATTCTTCAGAAATAGTCTATGGAGTGTAATATAAAAATATTTGAGAATTTGCATTACGATAGCAAGGAAGATATGTCCAATAACAGCTAATGTGGGATATGGGATACCTATAACTGGATATTGTAGGACAAGAATATTTTCTAATATTTCGAGCATAAATTCCAGAAAAGCAACGAAATAGCACTAAAAATATTTAAATATCAATTGCATAAATAGCTTACCCAGTAAACAAAAATGGCACATCACAATCTCTGCGTGAACGATATTCATGAACTCTTAGAGTATGTCCTTTCAAGTCTGTCTTTCTCAGATCTTCAAGGGCTTTGCTGCTTGCTGATTTATTGGGGAAAGTTACGAAGTATTTACTGAAAAGTCACAAAATATTAAATGGTAGAATACTCAGACAGTGGAATTTTATAATTTTAAAACATTTCCTTGAGAACACTAACCCTTTTTGACGAAGTGCTTGTACAGCAACAATGTCTGGATGAAGTTTCTTAATTTCACATTCAAGCAATGGTGGTTTACATTTAATAAATAATCGACAATTTGGGGTTACATTATTCTTCTTACCTTTCGTACCATCTCTCACCTAAAACATATGTTAAGCGAGTCATAGCAGATGCCATCTGAACAAAACCATTTCACATTTGGTGAAAACTTGAAAAATTACCTCTTGCCTCTTCCTTGTTCCATGAGTATCTATCACTACAATTGGATCAATTTCTTTCTTTTCCGCTATCTCTGCAAATTCTGCAGCATCATCTACATCGGAAGAATCATTCTTTTCTTCCTTAATATTAGTCTGAAAATTCAAATTACAAAATGTTATTACATAAATAATACAATTAAATAATTTATAAGCATTGTTTTTCAAAGTAAGTACCCAACAATTTGTTTCTTTGTCATTTCTCATGAAGGATTTAACATCAACAGTTCACTAAACCATAACACACTTAGTAAAAACTTGAAACATTACCACTAGCCACTCACTCCCACTACATCTTCTATTCAAAACAGTTGTGTTAATTTCTCTCTTAAGTGCTATATCTGCAAATTCTTCTGCAGCATCTTCATGGTAAAAATCTTGTTCTTCCTTAATTTTGGTCTGGAAATACAAATTACAAAATGCCATTACATAAATAATACAATTAAATAATTTATAAATTTTTGTTTGATTAAGTAACTTTACAGGCACAATAATTTGTTTCTTTGGCATTTCTCAAGTACTTTTCCACATCAACAATAAAACATCAACATTTCACAGTTGTATATGGTGCAGAAAGAACACGTGCACTAATAATACTACTATACTCCCCTAATCACAAACTCTGTAGTGGAAAGAATGGAACCACGGCTGACAAATTATATTCTAATATAAACAGAGCGGCACTACACGTTACGAGCTGGCAGGGGAGGGAGACTTAGTTATCGAATCGGTAGCTTTAAAACCACAATTTAAGTCGTGACAAAGCTCTTGATTGGATAATGGAGTCTCCCTCTCCGACTCACTTGTGACGGTAAAGTGCTACTTTGTTTAAGTCGGAGTACATTGTCCAACTTAAAGTTAGTGACACTCTAAGGTCGGAGGCGGTGAAGGAGAGGGGACACTCAGGGAGGTCATCCAATCGGAAATTCAATTCGAGAGTTTCAACAAAGACGTCACAACTTTGGGCGGGAAAGTGTTTGGTGGAAAACTCTGGCTTGCGCGTAAGCGGTTTCTAAGTTTTTGGTTGTATTATACGGTCACCGAGGTTTGATTTTTGCCACGTTTGTTATTTAGAATGGTATTTGCTTCCTTTCTGTTTCTTTGGGTTCTGGTTGTACAACTCGTTCACAAATTTGATTTAAAGAAGCACTATTCTTCCAGACGTATATCAAAACACTACCATTTTATTTCGAAAATGGTTAGAAATAAATATTATCAGGACCTTAGCGATGATACTGTGGTAAGGTACATTACAGTAAAATGAAATACATGAAATATTTGGACACGAGAGCTCTTTTATCAGATAAGAAAAGCGTTAACTCTACGAATTTCGGTCCCCTTTGCTATTCGAGAGAAGAGACTTCCTTCATATATTTTTATAAACTGTCAGCTTGTTAAATATTTATTTTCGAAAATTGTATCAGTTTTATTATTATCATCATTGAAAGATATATTATCTAAATTAATCTTTTAAAAAACGTTCTGAAAAATTCAGAATATCCGTAAATATAGTAATAGTTCTCATTTTCCCATGTATTAATTATAATAAATATATAGTTATTCGAAAATATTACAATTTGATATTTTTAATGTTTCCTGTGATGAATTTAAATTATGATGGTCGAATTTCAATTTTGTAGATACGTGTTTTAAATATTACTTGTGTTATCCCTAATGACATTTTTTGTGTAAAAATGCAGTACCGTATTTTAAGTCACAAAGTACCAACAGTTTACATTCCGATTAACGAGGAAATGTGCAGGGGTTACACGTAGCACCCGGCAGATGGCATCACTTTGCATAGGCACCAATGCATTGCATTGCATTGCAACGGCGGCAAGTGATGAAGATAGACCAGAAAGTGACGCAGCAACGTTTTGAGATTATCGATGAGATGATTTAGATTGCTGGCGAAAAAATAAATTAAACCAAAGAACCAACAAAACCTACATAGATATATCCATCGTCTGCTCAGTGTTTGGCGATGGAGCAACGTGGGTCTTCAATTTTGTCTCAATTAGCACGTAACGGAGTAAAGAGTGTGAATGTTATCTATGCCATTGTCTCTGATTTAAAACATATCTTAAAATTTATGCTTATAGATCAAGTTGAAATGAGAATTGAATTTCCCAGCAAAACAAAATAACACACATTCATACAAACGAGAAAGTAATTTCAACTAGGCTGCATTCATTTTACGCGCAAATGACGCGTTGAAGGGGAATGTGGTATTTAAATGTATTGAATTATGCACACAAGAAGTATGTTATTTTTTTTTACTTTCTCGCACTTACTAACGTTCCACTGACCCATTGTATTATGTGCTGACGTAGTCGTGTCGTGAAACTGGGTGGCACATTTCCAAGTCTGCAGGTGATGTACGAAAAACAAAGGATCATAACTGTGTAACAATATGTGTCGTAAAACGTGCTGTTCGAGATACACGGCTTCCAGGATATTTTAATTCAGTTTTAAATAATGGAAAGTTGACACATTTAATCTATGTATTGAAAAAATCGATCCATTCCGGGAGAATCCATTCGATTCTCTTGGAACAACACCAGACGATTAAGTGAACACAGTGCCCAGTGAACAACGAAGAAGAGAACATTAAAATTCCTCCAATTTACATCATTATCCCACCAATCAACTGTTCAACTTTGCCAAGCTAATTAACGAAATAAAAAGTAATACGAAGGTAAATTTGTAACAAAGACTGAACGCGATAAAGTTAAAATCAATTTTGAAAATATTGAAGATTTTCGTAAGTTCAGTAAGCTGCAAATATTGAATTCCACTCTATCAGAGACCCAACAGTTAAAATATTTGCAGTGGTAATTATACATGCCTCTAACATACGAATATTCCTAAATTAAAAACCAACTACTTAAACTTAAATACCCAGTCATTAAAGTTTGTAGTCTCGCCAACAAAACCGAACAACCTTTGAAAATCGTTGCTGTAGGCCTTCAATTCAATGAAACAGCAAAAAATATTATTTCTCTTAATAGATTCTTATACAGTGCAGTAAAAACACAGATGCGTATGAAAACAAAATTACCACTGAAATGTAAAAATTGTGAAAATTTCAATCACATTCAGATTAACTGTAACCTTCCGCCCAGATATGTAAGAGGCCGAGACGTTCACCATTATTCAAACTGTGATAAGCCCCAAGGACAAACTCCAAATTGTGTTAACTGCGGGTATTTTCATACGACAAATTACAGAGGCTGTTCAGAATTAAAGAAACAAACTAAGAAATTCCAAAACACACATTTCCGGCATGAAAATTAACCATTCAACCCGCTCGAGTTCTTGCGTACTACGTAGACCTCACAAATTAGAGATAACCACAATTTCACACAATATAATTCATTTTCTCAATTTCCTCCATTACCAAAAAAAAAACAATGTAAAAAATGGAGCAAATCCGATAAAATAATTCATTTAATATTAGTAACCAAATAATTGAAGAAAATCTGAAATTCCTAATGCCACAAATTCAAACTGGTTCAGAACTTTGTGATTAATTAATCTAGGACTTAATTAAAATAAAGATTTAATAAATTTCCAAATTAAATTATCACAACTAATTCTCTTACATTGCAGTGCTAATGGCATAAAATGCCAATTAAGTTTCATTAAAATAGTTTTTCATTAACGGATGTACTAATTGGAAAAAGTTCAGGCTAAATGATTATTATTTACATGTTTCCTACAAAAATAGGCCTGAAGACATAGGCTTCGAGGTCACACAATTAACTGAAGCAACCACAAAATCGCCCAAACATCCCAGTGGCTAGACCTTTTAACAAATACTTTATGAAACTCCCAATACGAATAATTAACCTCACCAAATCAAAAACACACAAAAGAAGATACTGACAAATCACTCGTAGGCAATACATTAGAAGTAAACTAAACAAAATTTCAAGGAAAGTATCATTTGAAATTTATAATTCAGTTACACATCAGTAATAGATCGTTATGTACTACTATCAGGCACATTACCAAAGAAAAAACAGGAAATTCCTGCTCTATATTCAAATACTAATATGGTATTCGGTGATACCGAAAAGGCCATTTTGCCAACCATTTTTGTATTAGCCAACCATTATGAAAATACCTTCATTCCAAATCCAACGTATTACGTTGATTTCAATAAAAATGTCGAAGAACATATGAGTAAAACAAGCAACTGTACCAAATAAAATAAAATGCATATCTATTTCCGAAATTAATACATCAATACGCCAACTAAAAATAAAATCTACCGGCACAACCATATAACAAATAAAATATTAAAAGAAATAAATCATAATTCTATCGCAACAATAACTGCAAATTTTTAATTCGTGCTTAAGACTTGGATATTTTCCAAAATATTGGAAAACTACCATTATTATACCGATTATACCAAGCAAATGTACTAGTATCCAGTAAACTACCGACCTATTAGTTTGTTACCAACTCGTTCAAAGGTATATGAAATATTAATATTATCAAGACTAGTTTTTATTTATTTATGTCAAAAACAGTTAAAACTGTGAGCGATGTGCACATGTAAGTTTCCGCGGCTCGAATCCATAAATTCTTGCCTATCCGGGAGAAGCCACGTCGTTGGCTGAGAGGCCGACATTTCGCCTGACATGTCACAGGATTCACTGCCCTGAGGAAGCCTGTGACAAGTCAGGCGAAACGTCGGCCTCTCAGCCAACGACGTGGCGCCTCCCTGATAACCAAGAATTTTTTGTGTGTGATGTGTTATGGGGAGAAGTTAATTTGAAGTTACATTTACGTTCAGAAGCAAAATAAGGGACCATCTCAGCGTTTTCTCAAGGATCAGCGAAACTGGACGAAAACCTGATCGAGATGAGTTGAATCCCTACGAGCTACAAATGCAATTCCATCAGTTCAATTCGGCATCCGATCCAACTACGCCACAGCTCATCAGCTACTGAGACTGAATTCATTGCAGATAATTGTCATCAAAAGAAACATACGCTTGCGCTTTTTTTTGGGATATCGCACTAGCATTTGAAAAGGTGTGGCACACGGGATTATTATTTAAAATTCAATTGCTAGTTATGCCAGAATATTTGAAACAATGGCTCCAACATTTAATTTGGGACAGGTTTTTCCATGTTAAAATGCACACTGAACTATCACCATTACATACAATAAAAGCAGGGGTTCCTCAAGGTTCCTGTTTATCCCCTTTATTGTTCACCATATTTATGGTGGATTTCCCTCTTCCGGTAGCCTCAGAGATGGCTTTCTATTTCGCGGACAACACGACCCTCTTCGTAGCTAACGAAAACATTAGCATAGTTTATGATTACCTACAAGCCGACATAGAAAAAGTCACAAATTGGACCAAAGCATGGATAATAAATATCAACCCACAAAAGTCTCAATTCAAATTTTTACTCTTCGCGGACCGCCTACACTTCCATATTTAAAAATAGAAAATGCCGATGTCCCATGGCTCCCTTCCGGAACACCAGTAAAATATCTCGGAGTTCTATTAGATAAAAAAAACTATCATGGAAATTCCATTTACTCAATTAAATAAAGCTAAAATGAGTAAACTTAACTCTCTCAAAATTTATAAATCACAACTCAGTATCAAAAATAGTCTATTATTATTTTAATCAATAATTCGTCCTACACTAACACATGCTTACTCTGTAAGGCACAACTCTGCATCGAGTCACATCAAATTATTACAAATGGTTCAAAACAAATGTTTACGAAAATTCATTAACGCACCCTAGTTCATTAGCAATAGACAAATACATCATGAATTGTCAATTGCTCCAATCACTGAATTTCATTAAAAAATAAATGAATAATTTTATTCCAAATTACAGTTCCTACCTTGCATACCTAATATCAACAATTTGGCAAATCCACAAATTCAAGAATCAGAATCCGTTCCCGTATCACTTAAGACGATTTTCGACCACCATAGACATTTATACTCAGGTCTATGAATACAAAGCTAAGATGAATGTATTCAAAGACATTTAAGACAAAATTCCGTCAAAATAACATACAAAATAATTAAACATCATGTATAATCACCACCAGTCAAAGACAGTGCCGCAGTCAGCTAAAATAAAAATATCAAAAATAAGCATAAAAATCAAAAATATTAATATGATGTACCAAGCCAACTCCCTGAAATGCATGATCTGCTGAACAGGAAAGAAATAAAGAAATTTAAAATAAAAAAAACACAAGTGTCCTTTGACGTAAATTAAGCTGTTACGGTGTCATCCAATCGGTACCTCGAACATTACTGTGGTGACGTCCCATGTCTGCAATTCCAGACAGAACGACACTGTGGTGACGTTCAACCTCCCGATTGGATGACACAGTAACAGCTAATTTGCGTCAACCCACCCTATGTTTATTTCGAAATATAGATATGAGTATATCGACAGATATAGATTTACATTTATTTAGTCAAAAACAGTAAAAACTGTATGTAACATATGGAGGAGACGAACATCTGCGCACGTTTTCTTGGATTCCAGAATTCCTTCTCATCATTTTAATGATAAATAGTTGAAAGATGAGTAAAAGTTTAAAATAAATAAAAATAAAATTAAAAAAATGCGCGAGATTAGCAACATTTCAAAAACTAGACATTTTTTGTTCCAGAGTTATAAAAACTTATTTGCACCGGTAAACCAACTGCAGGTTTGATTTTTCTGCATTGCTAACAAAATGGTAACTCGCCTTTACCTCTACTCCTACCACTAGAAGCAGAAGGAGAGTTCAACAGAACGTGCGCGTAGTGAAGCTACATTTACTTCCAGAAGCAAAACAAGGGGTCATCTCAGCATTTGCTCATTGTATCAGGGAAACTGGACAAAAACCTAATCGATATGGGGGTCATTGACCCGGAAGCTGAAATACATTATTTGTCACAAGCATATTAAGTCTTTCAAAAAAATTCAATCCAAATGTAAACTAATTTATTAAGTATCATTGTTTTATTAAAATAAACATTATTTTTCTTTTTGATGTATTTTAGCCGTATTGACGCGTCTCTGTCTTTATTACAATTATTTTTTACCTGATTTATGTATTAACTTCATATTACGTGCCGAAAGTATTACGAGTTTAAAATTTGTAAGAAACAGAGCTATCCAAGTTCTCTGTTTTTTAGAAATTTTAAACTCGTAATACTTCCGGCACGAGCGGCTTTGCCACTGGAACATTTCTAATGGGTCCTGGGACTAAGGTTTTCTCTTGTACAGGATAGGGAAAATGATATTTCTCATTATCTATTGGTAATG